GTCCGCGAAGCGCCAGCACGCGAGGGAAGCAGAAGCAGAGAGTACGGCCATCTCAAGGCCGAAGAGAGAGTCGGGGAAGCGGCGGTGGGGGGAAAGAAACGGCGACCGGGCACTGCTGTAGAAGCGAGTAGGGCGGCCGAGGCAGCACTTGTGGCAAACCATGTACCCGGCTGACGTTGTTGCGCCCTGTTTCCCTCCCTGCTGTATGCTATTCTCCTTTATGTATGTCCTTTGTAATTTCTTCGGCCTCTGTGCTGTGTTTCTGTTTTTCATGTCCTCCCTGCCTACTCTGCTGTGTTGGGTACCTTGATTTCGCTTTTGCTGTTGCTTTTGTTTTTGTACATCTGGCTGTCTGCCCATCTGCCCATCTGCCGCCTCGTTGTCCTGTTTGCTCCGTTACTCCCATGCCCTTGTGCGTAGTGCCTGGTGCTGGTACGTCACCCTTTGATCTTTCCTTTAGGCGAGTTTGGGAAGCGTCCTTATTTTGATCGGTTTCCGAGACCTCGTGTCTCGAACGGTCGGTGCGGTACCTGTTCTTTTCTTTCTATCATTTTGTTTTCTTTTTCCGAGTGGTTTGTACCCTATTGTGGAAAAGAGGGTTTCGTCCTCGACAGACGTTGGGGAGTTTCAACCTTTATGAAGGTGTTCTCCACATTACCCCCCCCTTTTTCGAGGCTTCTTCTTGTTTGCTAGGCAAGAGAAGTCTTCTTGGGGTAACCGGAACCCGACGACCGGCTGGCGGCGAGTAGAACCACCTTTTTTCCAACAATCTTCTGTGCGTGTGTGCGGGTACACCACTTCCGCCACGCATTGCGATAGACAGTGCATCGTTTCTTGGCCCACCCACCGTTTTTCTTTTTCCGTACTCCGGAAGAAAATTAGGTGAGCAGCGGGTTCTGAATCCGTGTCTTTTGCAACCAAAAGCAGACACCTGACATCTCTTGTCGACGCCATTGTGGAAAAGAGGGTTTTGTCCTCGACAGACGTTGGGGAGTTTCAACCTTGATGAAGGTGTTCTCCACACTATTATTGTTTTCTTTCCCCGCGGCGTCGTACGTGCCGGGTATTGAGACCACGTGCTTCCCATTTTTGATGACAATAGAGCTAATGTGAGAAACAACAACAACAACAAACAACTGCCCAATCGAGATCACCATAAGGTAGTCAACATGCTGACAGCGGAAAGCTTTGACAGTGGAAAGCTTGTAGGATGAGAACTGTGAAAGAGCATTCAAAGGCATTCCCTTGCTTGGACACCGTTGTAGGTAGGCCGGAGCTCAGCATTTGGCGACACTAGTGTACAGTATACCCAGCGAAGCTGCTTCGGGCCAGCTGCGTGTGTCTCTGCGTATTCACGTGTCGGCCGCGCATCGTTTTCACCAGGAACCGGAACACTGAATGAACCAAGGTTTTTGCGAGAAATAACAGACTTCATTGAACAAGGCTTTTTTTTGTGGGCAAATTCTTAATGTACCGGGACAGAGCTTTGGGAGTGTATGGGGTGTAGGCGCGTGTGCTATGTTATCACGCTCGCGGGCTCTTGTCGAGAGGGTTTTGCAAAAAGGAGTGACTCAAGTTCCTTGATGAACGATTAACGAGTGAGAGGCAAGAAGAGCCTTGCGCGTCAAGTCCATCACACCCATCATGTAAATCTATCTGCGTACCCCCCGACGATCTCGGAGATTCGTATCCTGCCGAGTACACAAGCAAGTTCTCTCGCGTATCCACCTCGACTATCCTCTGACCAGGTCCGCACCCAAACGCACCCCCTCAAAGGCTCAACGAACATACCCATACGTGACTGAAAGTTCGATCGTTTCACACAGTTCGTAGCGTCCCTGCCTCGTCGTAGCACCCCAGTGCAATATGAAGGCTCCGCCACCGCTAAAGAGCATCGAAAGAGTGGCACACACAGCAGTGTCAAACTATTCCACCTCGGTGCCGCCGCTGCAAGACCCTCCGAGCAACTCTCGAGGAGGCGAAAACAGCCCTTCCGGCATTGTACTCTTCTCCCTCTCCGGAACTTCAGGGACAAGACTCGATCCCGTGGCTGGATGACGTCGACAACTAAAGTCCGAGGTGTAACTCGTTTAGACTTTCAGATCGAAAAAAATCAACACATTCGAGCAATTCGACCACGGCGGAGGAAAATTCGAAGCTAAGGTTGTACGTACTATGTAAAGCAATTTCACTTTGGACATACAAAGGCGACACGACGTTGACCTCGATTTGCCTCGCCTCCCAAACCCACGTGGGTGGCTCAACCACTACTGTAGTACATTGGCAGGGCACGCACACGGTGCCACTCATCTGTCCTTACGTCTATTTTTTGCCGGACCCATCCCTGGCTAACACCGTTCTTTGCACCCTCATCACCACTGCTGCCTCCTCCACTGGGGGCATCAAGCTGGCTTTGCAGCAAGCGGTGGTTGGCCCTCCTTGACCTCTTCAAGAAGCGACCGGCGATGGAAGCCATGTTTTCGAGCTCCTCGTCTTGGATGGCGCGGGACGCAGCCACCTGTGCGTTGGTAACACGTTGAATGAAAGCGTTGAGATCGTCTTCCCCGTCAATTATCTGTTTTGAACACAAGTTCATGTCACTGAAGAACCCAGGAAACTTTGAACACGGTTTGGCGAGGGTTCCAACGTGATCCAGCGGTGAACCAATGGCGCCAAAGACGGATGTGCGCGGTCAGAAGCGTGTGTGTTGAAGAAACGAACCACGACCTACACTAGCGACACACAAAATACCAAAAAACCCTGTGCTCGCAAACTTGCGAGTCGTCTGTACGTGTTGATACTCGAAGAGCACAAGTTCAGTGCTCGGACAACATGGCTCACCCATGAATATTGCCCCAACGAAAAATGTGGGAACACCTTCTCTTTCGGAAACCCAAACGCTCATTATCTTGTAACAGGAGACGAGTTGTTTTGTCCTTTGCAACACTGCAGCCACAGTTTTAGGCCACCTACTTCGGTACAACATGCGAACCGGAGTACGAAGGTAATGGTACAAAACACGCCACCAAGCCTGTTCATGGGACCCTGACCAACCTGCGCGTTGATGATACGTTGTGCCTCATCGTACTGTCCCAGCCAGATATAGTTGTAGGCCACATTGACACGGCATTTCCCGGCGAGCCGCAAATCCCCGAGTGCTTCCGCTACCTTCGAAAGCAAAATCCAGAACGGAGGGTGTGCCCACAACCCGTAGGTGAAAGCATGGACGAATGAGATGCCCAGATTCCTTTCGTGTTGCGTATGCCACATGGACAGGGTGAGAAGTGCCCGTTTAGGTGGTACTTTTGGGGCACCAATGGCATCTACTTCCCGGGGTCCCCAGTAGCAATTCGTCGCATTTCAAACAACCTCGGACACCGCCGCCGGTGTATGGGTGAGAATGTATCGGTACTGCGTGTACTAACCACGCAATAGATTAAACGCGCACCGAAGATCAGGGGTGATCGACAAGTTCTCTGCTGTGGAATGGGTGCGACCCTTTGTCAATTCAGAGGTGCGTCGCGATACAGGCTATACACACGGGCGACTTTGAGAAATGGGCACATCGGGTCCACTACACTCTTACCTCTGATTGGGCAAGGGCTAGACGTATTGCCTGTCCGACCTGCCGGGTGAGGAAGTAGCCTCCCCCTAGGGTGCTAAGCTTTGCGTTGGCGTTCAAGAGAGTAGCGATGGCCTTGGCTTGACTGATCAGTTGGAGGCACCACCTGCACAAACACATACGATCGATTCCCGTAGTGTGGGTGACAAGTGTATTCGAAATGTAGATTCGTGTGCTTGGAAGGGAACGATCCCCATTAGCGTTTCGAGAACCATAGGACCTCGCACTAACGGATGCACGAATCTCCCACATGCTAATCACTGGCGTGAGCGGGCCGGCCCTGCCCGTGTAAACTCCCTTTCTGGGCCCTCTTTCCTTGCCCAAGCTTCAACACAGAAGTCTGCCTGCCCAAGGTAGCCGGTGACAGCCACCCCGACCGTGGGATCCTTGTGTCGCATACCCAAGCAGTCTACGTCGTTGGCTCGACTAAACCTAGGCTAGGTTTATGCGTACACAAGCAGGGTACCACGCCTCCGCATTTTAGGTATTCGACCACACTCGAAATGGCCCAAGTATCGTACCGATTGGTGCCCACTGCTGAAACAAGTGCCAAATATGAAGTCAAGAGACCAATTAGTTGCACTATACTTCATGCCAGTGCGTTCACGTGTATGTTGCAGTATCGCTACAAGTTGCAGTGTGCTGGTATGGGAGAGGGTATTGATGTAGTAATGAATGGATTCACGGTGCTTCACCTCTACAGGTTATCGTGCCATGGCCAAACAAACAAGTGCCTCTCCCTCAGAAAACTGCCTTGAATCATATGTTTGTCTACCATTCACGCGCAAGTCTCACCTTATGTCCGGTACCATCGTCACCAGCGGATGACAAATCAGCCTGACTTGTAGTACTTCCCCTGCCGCCCCGTTCCCGCTATCCCCACCCTCCGGCGTTCGCCGTTCAAGTTGTCCTGTACAATGGGGACCAGACAATGATACACACCGTGAATGTAGGTCGCTTCACGAGTAACTGTGATGAATTGTGCTAGCGTTCCGTTCTTGGCAAGTATAGTTGTGCGCTAGTGCATCACAGCGGGCAAAGAATCATCGTCACGGAAAAGTTCTGGAGACTGGCGCAGGCGGTGCTACGACTTGCGCTCTGAGCTACATGCGCTCCTGTGGTTGTTGGCTCATGTTGTCGTCGTTGCCTCCCGAGCGAAAACTGTACTGGTGTCCACACTGAGAATCATAGCATAGCGTACCCGTCGGGGACAACCTTTGCGTTGTAGCATGCCAACACAGATACGTGACACCGCCGACGTGGGGGTCAAACTAAAGCAAAATTTCTTCTAATTCTGCATATGGTAAGACTCCGACGGGGCAATTTCGGCAACGCAATCACCACCAGGTCCACACAGCGCTGGACAGTTGCATTGATGGTTCCAGGGCGCAGCAGGCACAAAGCAACGAGAGCGCACAGCCGCCACAACAACAGTCACAAAAATATTAACACAGAAACGCCAACTCAACCCACACCTTGCCAACCATGACCGCAAGGATTGTGTCACACTTCGTCAGCAGATGATCACTCGGCTGTTACAACACACGTCCTCCAAGCGCGACCGCAGCGGTTCGTTCTCCGCGGAAACAATTCGCACACCCGTCCATCACCTGGGGGTCCCGCTGTCGGCTCAAGGTCGAAGGCTATCCACCGCTCGCCCCTGTCGCATCGCCCGGTCACCTTGTACCACGTACCATGAGCTCGCCCGCCCGCCGTTGCGACCGCCGCCGCGAGCAGCAAGTCATCTTCAACATCAAGACCACACATAGAGAACCCCGTCGCTGTTCTGTCCGTTCTTCTCGCGTTCATTGCCGTCTCTACGACGCTGCTGGCGCAAGCACTGGTGCTGCCACCGAGCACACTACCGCTGCTGTTGAAACCACCTGGCCGCCCCCGTTCTTGTAGCCCGGTAATCGCCGCCGCAATCCGGAGCCACGCCACCAAGCGCCCAACGGCTGCGGAGACGCCGCACGTGCTGCTATTGCTGCTATTGCTAGTAGAACAGCGTGTTACCCCGAACGACTTATTCCCGTCGGCATCAACGTCTCGACGGCTGCACACATCAGCAGGTCCAGTTGTGCCGGCGCAGCCGCGGGGAGGTTCATCTCCTGGAGGCTGCTCAGGCTCGATAGCGCTTCCTGCCGTGCTTGGATTCGCGGACAGGCGCATGTTTTCCGCGTAGGACCGATCGAGCAGGGATTGCACGGCCGAGAATCCGAGAACACTCTCAACTACGACAAGCGCCGCCCCACCTGGTGCTACCGTTGCCGATGACTGCATAGAACATGCTGGTTGCTGTGAACTGGTACAAATGCCGTTGTTCGTTACAGGGGACGAGGCCGTGCCACAGGAGCTGTTGCCGCCGCTGCCATCGCGCTCGTCCTGAGGACCGACAGTAGTTTCGATGCGGACAAGGTTTTGCTGAACCTTCGTTACGACCGCATCACCGCGGACAAAGTGCTCAGCTGCTCGCTCTCGTACCGCACCACCTCCGGCTGTTAACAAGCTTTCGTGATAAGAATGGTCGGCCACCGCGAACGTCCTAGGGAGAAGCAAGCGCACCATACCGGCAGGTCGGCTATTTGTCTCGGTTGCTCCAATGGAAGCTGCAGCCGCCAAACTCGCAGTGCGCCCGGGCGATGCTCGTTGACCTCCTGATCGAGATTGGGCGGGAGAAGGTACGTCATTGTAGAGCGCTTGTGACAGCCGCACAACGGGTGGGATCGACATCATCGGCGTCCCACCCCCCGTACAAGCAACGGCTGGGGAAGTGACCGGTAGTGAAGCTGGCTACGGATGCGGCACAACTGAAGTGCCAAGGAGTTCATGATTCATGATGACCTCCTCGCTCCTCGCCAGGGAGACGGGGCTCGGAAAAAAAGAAAAAAAAAAGAATCTTATCTCTCCGCATCTCCGCATCAGCATGCAACTGCCGGCACCACTCTCGCTCGCTTACCAATGAGGCACTCAGCCCAAGCCAAACAGTGCTCTTAGCGAATCCCTCCTGAATTCCCATCCAACCTCAACCGTGCTGCTGTTGACGTACAGCCGTACGCGCGGACACCTGGATACTGGTGCGGTTACACTCGAGGACCGAACGGTGAGCTGGTATTTTAGTGAGAAAAAGTTGGAAGCTACACCCTGTGGTTTACGTGCAGTACGGGTGAGGAGACGTTACGCATGTATTCTAAACTCGCAGGGCCCCCTGGATGCCTACGACCACGGATGTCATGCTCATACACCTTAGTATTTTTCCTTCTTTCCCTCCCTCACTGCACTGTATAGTTCTTCGCACAAATTTACTTGGTTTGAACAATCGAAAACCCAAAGAAACCTGTTTGGTCTACTGCTGTAACTCCGGCCTTGTACCTCTACCTGTCATGTTGTTTGGTTCTTGGAGATGAACTTGTGGAAGAAGGCCTCCAGGCGGTCGGGTGGGGAAGAAGACAACCCGGTCATTAACGTGTGTGAACATGGCATCCGCGGCCGTGGACATCCACGTAAACATCACCTCGACCCCTGCAAGTCTGAAGCAATTTCTCACACTGCGGTGTGTCAAGATGAACCAACTTATTTTGTATCAATCGTGTGCAATCGTGTTTTTGTGCTGGTTGTGTGGCCCCTCCCGGTTGACCCTACCACTGGCCGAAAAGTCACTCTTGTCGCTTACGCGAGGTGGGCCTCGATATATGCCAAGTGTACAAAGTTTCACGGAGACCCTAAGCGATGCATATGCTCTCGGCGGTGAAAGCTGTAGCTGTGGCTCGGGAAGCGGTTATAGTAGTGATCGGCCTTGTGCTGCAACTACTGCTGTGCTGTAGACTATGCAAAGTACCATGTGGTTATGCACACCAGGCCACACCAGGAAGTATCATATCGTCCAGCCGGCGAATCACGTATCTCCCCATTCTATTTTCGAGTTAAGTTGTGTTCTTGTGTGCCTGACGCGCCCGTTGAATACACATGCATGTTCATCGATCGAAAGAACCTTGTGTGGATGAACAAACTCCTGATTGGGATGGTAAATTTACGTTCTACATAAACAGAGATATAGAGAGGCAGACAGCAGCTAGATGATGTTCCTGTCGCAAGCCCTCCAACGAAGAACATTGCTACTCGCCTGCCAATCTCGGCCAGGAGGTCATCGAGCATCGCCCCCAGCGCAATTGCCACCTCTCCCTGCTGCGGCTTCCTCTACAGCAACGGAGACTACTATCCCGTCTGCCTTGGTGTGGGTCGCGTGTGCTCTCCCTACGACGTTCGCGCCAGCCGACCATATTTCCCACGAATGGTGGGTATAGCAGCAAAGGGCGGCGCGGTGCGAGAGAGAAAAGCTGTCCAGCAGCCTCAGCGAGACGGCGAGGAAAGCGAGAAGATCGAACCAGCGGGGGCCATGATCGTTTTGTCTTGATGTGGACCTGTTGACGAATACGGCTGTGTGCGGCGGAGGCGGCGATTGCAACGGATCGGCGGATGGAAGAAGATCATCGTGCGGGATTCGAGGTGACCGGGCGATGCCAAGGAGGCGAACCGTGGACAGCCTTCGTCTTCCACCTCGAGCCGACAGCTCTTCAAGGTGATTGACGACTTGATGACGCGAGTGGGATGTAAATAGTTGCGGCCGTGAATTGATGTGGTTGCTGCCACTGCTGTCATGCTGAAGCACGTTGGCGTGCTGGTGCTACTGCCGAAACATCACTGACATGTTCCGTATCTGCTCGTGCTGATGAAGTGTAAAACACATTCCTCCTGTGATATGCTTGGCAACGTGTCGCGGGTGGAGTGTCACTACTGGTTTGACTCTGTTGTTGTTGGCGGCGGCTGTGGGCCGCTCCTGGTTTTTATTTGTCACCCTGAAAATATCGATGCAACTGCGAAGCATTCTATGGAAATCGAACTCAATCGGATCCTATGACATGAACATATGTACAGGTTCCGTGAGCGTTGGCCTGTAGTGTAACCGCTGGAAGTCCTCCCTACGGATTTGCCTACGAAGGACGTCGATGTTTTGATTTTCAGTCCAGACAGCAGCAATAGCAAGCCAGTTTTCAGTGTTTGTAAGGACAGGAACGACCACTGTTTTGGCCGCTGCGCGCAGAATCTGCACAAAATGCTATGGTGGGCCGTGGCTGTCCGGGGACGAACATAATGTTCATACTGGTCGCGCTGCTAGGGGTATGGGGGCCGTAAAGAGGAATTCAAGTATCCTATACGTCCCTGTCTGCCCTCGAAAGGTGTCGAAGTGGCGGCAGTCATGCCGCATCTACGAAGAATGGACAACTTCAACATGTCTCTCCATGGCATGTTTTCTAGGTCTTTGCTCCATCGGCCGTTTTGTTTGTATGACGGAGAATAAGAATTGCTTGAAAGTAGTATGGACATAAAGTTTATGTATCTTAATCGAAAATAAAGCGGCCGATGGAGCAAAGGCCTAAACGTTTTCACGAGCGTTGTCAAACCCCCGGTGTTTACTTAGCACCCCCCATGTGGGAAGAGTTAGTAAACAGTGCACGTTGTCACCCGTTAATGTCTATCACATGTGTGCCTGCCTCGTCCGTGACTGTTATGTAATGACGTTTTGACGCCGTTTGCGAGTGAGTCGCTTCTCTGGAAAAAGAGCTTCGACCATGTACGTCGGCCTGTGGTTCTCCAGCAAGTTGAAACAATCACCGAACAAGAAGAGAAGGAAACCACCGGGGATTGAGGAGCAGATGAAGATATGATTCCGCGCTGATACCCAGCCCCGAGGAACCGGTCTACGCACGAATTGTTCTCAGCTACAAAGGTGAGAAAAGTATGAGCGTCTTTGTATGAGCGTCTTTTTCACTCTTTAAACACAACACCAGCGACAACAACAGGGTAGTGCCTACGTGTAGCACAGAGTGGAAGACAGAAACCATCCTGTGAGAGCCGCCTGGTGTTGCTTTCCGTACCAATGGTTCTTTCCCCGCTGTGATGCACCCGTATACAACAGCATTGTTGAGGACAGGGTTCCATGACGGTTCCTCATGGAACGGATTTCACCAACCGACCGTACGTATCATCGTCAAATTCGTGATGTATGAGACTTCTATGAGTGCAAACGCCGGAGGGTGCAGATAGCGGACCATGGGCCGTGTGGGAAGTACTGGCAGTAGTAGTGAAGCTCGTCTGCCATCCTGTTGCCAGGGTGCCAGACATAAGGTCAGGCTTACGCGTGAGTGAAAGACAGAGAAGAGGTTGGCTAATAGCATGTACATCTTCATACCTGCTGGATTTGAGGAGGTACTGTACTTCTGTATCGCTGTTTTTTGCTTCGTTACTAGCCTTTCAATGTCAGACACCATTTTGAATTCCGACAGCAGTGGTACAAACCCGATGGCTCGCCCGTTTGAATGTCGAGAAGGCGGTACACCTGTGCTGCAACTATTCACAGCAGCCACATGGCGCCGGTGCTGTAGGAACTCTCCGGCTGGGTTTTGGTGACTGATGTTACGGTGGGTATGGTTATTGGCACGACTCCGGTATGGCTCTGAACACGTAGTCATGAAACACCGCTTATGTGGGTATGAGCTGATCTCAGCTCAGCTCGGTAGGTACGGGGGAAGAACTGACTATGCGTCCGTTGCACCTATTTAGTTGTGCTGTCAGCTGATTGGTCAAAGCAAGGCCTTCTCCACTCTCTTGAACGCCAACGCGAAACTTCACACTCTGGGCAAGGGTCTACTCCCTCACTCGGCAGGTCGGAAAGGCTACTGTCGTTGCCGTTGCCTGTTCAGCGATAAGGAGTGTAAGTGCGTATTCTCAGCTCGCTTACAGAACTCGAAAGTTCTGTGAGTTCTGTGACGGCTCACCACAATACCCTATAGTTCTGTGAGTTCTGTGACAGATCCAGTACCCTACCGAACTTTTCTGTGAGTTCTGTGACAGACCCAGTACCCTACCGAACGTACCCTCTGGTTCTGTACACCCGGGTCAACAATACCCGCGGTACGGGTAAACATTTGTGGAACTACCCTCCACAAGTGTGATTACCCCGGTGGGCTGACGTCACCTCTACGAACCAAACTTGAAGCGTACCCTCTACCCTCACGAACTCACACACAGACCGGCGGACCCTGCAGATCTGTCACACGTGCCACACATCCCACAAACAACGCACGGTATCGGTTTGAGAGGTAATATGAGCGCTGTGGACCCCAGCAGTACATCTACGCCAGAAGCCGCGGGCGAGACTCAGGCGAGCTCGCACGCGGCGGAGGCAGGTGTAGGCGAAGGTAGCGCTGGCGCGGGGCAGGGAGATTGACCCGAGGTAGAGGTTGTTGCGGGCGATAGCGCGGGGGGCGTACCCGTCATCCTACAGGCGCCCGTCTACAACAAGAAGGGGGAGGTGGTGGACGTAGACCGGGGTGTTGTCGACGCGGTGGATAGATTCCGCGCGCCCGCTGACTTCGTGAGAAAGGGCTCCCGCGACAAGTCCTTCATGTACTCGCTGGGGGTGTATGTGGAGAACACGGACCCTGGACGGAAAAATCATAAGTTCTACTGCCTGGCGAACGCCGACTGCAGGAGAAAAACGAAGGTGGTTCCCTGTACGAAAGGGGACCGCAGCAACGTCAATACCCACCTCAAGTCAGCTCACAACATGCAGGGCACGGCTGGAGTCGTAAAGGCGGGAAAGAAGCAGGCAAAGCAAGTCAGCATCGCTGCGAGCTTGAAGGCGAGCGCCAACTCCGGTCTCGGGACAAACAGGTGTGTGCGCTGGCTATGTGCTTGCATTTTCCGTGGTGGTATCTTTATCTTTATCTTGTCTAGTCGTAGCTACACCAAGTACAGCAGTAGAATATGGAGGTGTCTTGTTTTATAGCATGGCTTTGGTTGGTTGCTCACACTCTCCTCCGGTTCTTTCCCGATTGGATGTCGCGGCGGTGGTTGTTGCTTTTGTTTTTACGGAGTTCGCGAGCTCTTGGCTGCGAGAATGATGGTGGATAAGTTCCTGCCCTTCTCTCATTTTTCTGGATCGTGGGAGGAGCTGATCGGCACAGTCACCACTGAAGGGCAGTGCACACCTTTTCCGGCGCTTACCAGCAGGCGCGTCAAGCACCTCGTGGTGGAGATGTTCGTCGCGACGAAAAAGGTGGGTGTTCTCCCTTCTGTTCGTTCTGTTCCCTTGTTTTGTTTTCGCCCGTCGCCGTATACGGTGTGGGTGTGTTTCCCTCATTTTATATTTGTACTACTGCTGTAGTAGTGTGTAAAAACAAAAATAAAAATTGTTGTTTTCGATATTAAACTTTAACTTTGGGTGTGGGCATGCAGCAGCAGTGCTGTAGTAGTGCATATGCCGAAAAAGAAACGTGAGCCATGATCAATCGTCCGCAGTGTATATTAATATTATACCGGAGTAGATGTAAATGTAATTGTTAAATGTTGACGCGTCTATCCTTTTTGCTGTTGTGCTGTTTGCGGTACGTCTTTCCGAGCGCGAAATTGAAATTGTTTCAATTTGCAAAAGATGTGCACGCCCGATTCGGCTCATCTTTATCTTACCTTTCGGCTCATCTCTAGATGCACCAAAAAACCAAAACCAAAACATAAATTAAAAATTTTGATGGTTTGATTTGAAAATTAAATTTTGTTGATTTTGATTGTACCGATAATCAAAGTCACAGATTTACCCCGATCGTACCGCACCCTCACTGCTGCTTGGCACATATCTCCCACGGCAACCGACTTGATTCAACCGCCGCTACTGCTGCAGTGTGTTTTACCGCGCACACACACATAAATATACTACTTGGAAGTATAGATATAATATGAATATACTATAAATAGGAGTATGTATATCATACGTAATTCTCATCGGTGTTTGCGTTTGCTTGCGGCCGGCCTTGCAGGCAGTGATGGGGAACCTGAAGGAGGAGATCGAGAACGCTCTGCTTCCTATCATCCACTACGGCCTTGACCTGTGGACCTGCACGCGCTCTGGGCGCAAATTCCTTGATGTGCACGTTTTTTACGTCGACGGCAAGTTCGTCCTGCGTCACGCGCTCCTTGCTGTAAGTCACGATTTTAACTTTGTGCCCTCTCTGCTTGCTCCTTGCCAATTTGCCAAGTTGATGATCGGGGGTGGAATGGCGATGCCCATACGTGATTGTAGTACCGGTACTTTTTGCTTTTATTTTCATTTCGTGTTGCCCTCCGACAATTGCAGATATATCATGATTCTTACGTAGAATTATGATTATATTTTCCTATTCAGCAAGCTGGACGCGTGCGTACCATAACCTTTTTGTGTGCCCTCTTTCTCAGCTTTGTTGGGCTACACAACGAGTTTGTGTGTGTGTGTGTGCCGGTTGATTATCATGTTTTGTGTAGGATGAGATTGCGCGGTATCAATGTTTTATGTTTGGGTGGAAATTCAATTGTAGATATGAAGTATAAATATAACGTGGAAAAGGTTGCCCCCCCCC